CTCAGCTTTCAGCATGTCTATGTCTTACCTCGGCTCTCTCTTGGTGTTTCCATAACATGATGCATTATGAAGGAACACGGAAAAAAAAATTTCATGAGTGTGAAGAAGAGCAGAGTTATAGCTTCATGATAGTATTTTACACATGGTCCAAACCGCTTTGAAGAGGGGGATATTAAACCTCTGACTGCTGGCCCACCAGTACTATGGCTGGAGGGAGCTTTCTATGGCTTTTCTTCATTTTGACAATCACGCCTGACTTCAGGGAATGAAAAACCTCACCAGGACAACGGCATGGGAGGAGGGGATGTCCTGCCTGCTCAGGGGGTAGGTTAGCACAAAGCACACATCCTGCCCACAAAGGGCAACTTGAACGCTGGACTGCATCTCCTACAAGCAGAAGGAAAACACCTGAATTCAAGACATACGGAAGATATTCCCCAGTGCTACTCCAGTGAGCTTATTGAAAGTAGAATAGCAGTGATGCTGCTTCACTGAATTTAGTGATTTTATTGGTCTTTTCACTTAAGAAATGATCCATTTTCTCATATTACCGGGATAAAATCTAGCCTGTAATACGTAGGTCATGAATTCATCTATCTCCACATTCTGTGTCTCTGGGCATGGTACTACTAGAATTAATGGTGACAATAATGAACTCCTGTCTCCTTTGGATCATAAGAGTTTACTCTAACAATTGTTAGATTATTCATTACCGGGGTACATCAGTTCCTTCTTCCCTCAGACGTCTGAGGCTCCTGGCTACACCACTTATATTTAAAACAAACAATCGATAAGCACCATGCAGTTGTAGGCTTTTGTGAGGTGCTAATTCCTCTGTTATTAAACTCAGCATGCAGTCCCCATCACTCCCACTAACTCCCTGCTCCAAACAAAAAAAACACCCAATAAAACACACAATGAAAAGAAAGCATTTCTCCAAACTGCCCAACACGGGAAGGAGATGCAGGAGTAGGGGGGGACGCATGGAGACAGCAGGCGCATGCTGTTGACAAAGGGATGCTGGGAACCTTAGGAGGAGGATAAATAGGCATACGTCCCTCTCCAGCCCAAATCTTTCAGCACTGAAGGGAGGAAGCTGAGAAACCTTGTGTCCTCGTGTGGACATATTTTTGAATGTAGCCCTGATTCGAGCAGCTGCAGGATATTTAAAGTCTTTTTGTGAGTCTGATTGGGCCATAGCATACCCCAGATCCTTAGTGGGACCCCGGGAAAATCGAAGCAGGGCATGCATGAGGCTCAGCAGCCACCACTCGTCTGTGGGTCCTTCCTCCACCAATACAGGGCTTAGGCGAGAACCAGAGCAGTGGTGGAGCCTACCAGATGTGGTGCAGAGAGCTCCAAAGATTTCAGTGAGGCTAATATTTCACTGAGAAGGGCTTTGACTGCCAGCAGATGTACAAGCCAAGCATTTCAGCAAGCCCTGAAGCCCGCTTTCTGAGCAAAATATGACATCTGATTTAGAAATTTTTATGGCATGTTTCAATGCGCTACACATCAAGGCAATGAGAGCCATCATACTGCAGTAGAAGGTCCCTGAGCTCTTTCTTTTCAGCCCCTGAATATAATTCATTTAAGCTGTTATGAGGCAATTCATATCCAGATTTTATTAGAAGTGGAAGGTCCTTTTATTTCCTCCGTGTATTCAGCACACAGAGAGCTAGTGCTATGGTTAATTTTATTTCTCTGCTTTCTGTGTTTTAATAGCCCTCTCCCCACTTCCATGTGCCTCTGAATGGGTGGAGGAGGTGGAGAGGTATAAGCCTGAATAATGTAATCATGTGCTACAAAAGAGAAATACCGGTAACAAAATGCATAGTGAATATAAGACTGAAGCAGACACATGAAAGATCACTTAAAGTCATAAAATCTGCTGTATGTGTGCACCTACCAGGTATATGGATACACCTTGAAAAATATACAGCTATGCTTTCAGGAAAAAAGTAAAAATGATTTTTAAAAAGTGATAAATTACTGTCATATAAAAATATTTCGGAAGCGCAACTACAATATACATGTAGAGCCTTCGTCTACATAGCTGAGTATACTCTGTCTTTCATGGTGTTTAAAAGAGAAATAAAGTTAAGATGCATCAGAACACAAGAACTTCTCATGACACTGAATATTTTTGCCATCAGTGTGTCAAAGGACATCACACGGAGCTTCGAGATCTTGAGGACCAAGACTTGGCCTTTTACTATGTCATGGGCCCTGCAGCCGAGCTCGTTACAGATTGCGTGCCAGTTTCTCCTCCCGTGGGATAGAGGAACATGAACGGGATGAAGCCAAGCGGATGAACGGCTTCTGCCACTCCATGCCACTATTTCTGAGCCAGAAGATTTTTCCAAGTGCATAGAGCAAACTTGGAGCATCTGGTGGCTCCATCAGCAGTTTCCTGGAACTCATGTAAAGGCAGGCAGGTTTTGTAAGCCTTGATTAAAAATCAAGAAGGGATTTAGTCACATTTTAACATTATTTCTTTAACCAATACTCACATTTTGTATGATTTCATTAAACTAATGTGTTATAGTTTCTAGGGGATTCCCACAGTGAAGATATTGAAAGATTTAGCCGTGCGTGTTTCTTATGAGTCGAGAAATGGGCAAATTAAAATCTGCCTGCGCCGGACTCCGGAATCCCTCTGGCAGAGTCAAGGAGATAAAATTGAAATAAACAGGGTTAAACACCAGAGAATTTCCCTCTTGTTTTGGCTATTTCATTTTTTCCTGCATGAAGGCAGCACTCCCAATGCAGGCATCTCCCTCATGTCCTGGCTGCTCCCAGGAGCGCTCCAGAGCTCATGAGGTCCCTGCCTGGTCGCCACGTGCTGGGGTTGAATGGTGCTTATGGCTGAAGACAGCGTCACCGAGCTGGTTCCTCCTGCAGGGATGGCAGACAGGCCGTTTCAGGCCTGCCGTGCTTTTGCAAAGCTTGGCAAGTCCTCTTTATGCCTTTTTTTGAACTAACTGCAAAACTTCTTTGATGTCCACCCTGAGTTTTGACCGTAACAATCACCACCCACGTCCTCCCTAAACTCCAATTACCCAGGAGCTGAACAGAAGCATTTAAAAAAAAAAAAAAAAAAGACAGTGCAGATTCTGCAGATTAAATTATTCATCTCTACAGAAAGACCTGTCCAGCTTATCTCAGTAATTCTGTTAAAATGGGAAGTGAAAGCAATTCAGTTGAGTTGCCCTTCATCACTTTGAAAGAGACAAAGACTTTGAAAATCCCCCAGCAGATCGGTTCTGACATAAACCCTCCTCCTCGATCTTCCCTGACCCCTCATCCTGGCGCAGCACTGTGTGATTATCGCTCTCAAGGCATCACGCAGCTGATTAGCCCAAGCCAAGTTCATGGAGGTGAGAAGCACCAGCTCCCTGATGCTGATGTTTGATCATCCACACCTACAAGTGCTCCCAATTAGCCTGGAAATGCCAACTCCAGTTCATAAATACCTTAAAACATGAAGTTGAACGAAAAGCCGTCTGTGTTTCCTTTCTTCAGCCCTCTCTGCTGTATCAAAGCAGCAAGCACACTAAGGACAACTTTCATTGCTGAGCAGGGCCCATTGGAGCAGCTGCTCGTTAGTGCTTCAGCTGGCTCTGTGCAGAGCCAAGGAGCAGCCACCATCCAGCTCTGCCAGCCCTGGCTTCCAGCAGCACGTGCTGAATATCAGTGAGTGCACTAGGCTGTGAAGTTTACCTCCAAGGGAGCCACGAAAGGACCTTTCAAGCAGAAAGGTCACAGACTTCTAGAGGCACTATTAGTGCTGACTTGCTTCGGGAGCTCTTGCTCCCTGCAGCACATCCATCCCCTTGGTCTTTTTTTTCTCCTTCCTTCTTAACTAACAATCTGCAGCTTATCAAAGGGAGCTCGGTGAGGGAGGAAAGCAACAGCACATATTTTAATAAATACCATTTGTGAGCTGGCTTTCACAGCTGAAGCTCAGCAAGCAATCTGATGAAGCACCGGGAGGAGGGATTAAGGCTAAACGAGAGCCTGGGGAAATAGTCTGGAGCACAGCCCAGGCCACATGGGAGGTAATGGTGGTGCTTTGCCATGGTGGGTTGAACGTACCCATCCTTGTTGTTGCTGGTAGCTGCAGGATGCTTTGTTTTGCCGGTGACATTTGAGACAGGATCTCCTGGACAGCTTTACAGAAGTGCCAAGGGACGATGCTAAAGCCAGTGCACGCAGGATAAAACTATTAGACAACCACGTTAACAATAAGTTAACGTTAAAGACAATTCCCTGAGTGGCGATGCTAACCTGAGGGTCTACCTGTAGCAGGAAGCCACCACATCTCTGGAAAGACAACCCTAATTTAAGGGCTGTTTCTGTGTTCAGGAGGTTTGGGGGCATTTTTGCTCATTGAACACTTATTTTTCAAGGTCTGGCTGCACTCTCCTCTCCAGACAGGGTGATTGCAATACGATCAGACCTGGTTCAGCTGCTGTGGACCAGGCAAGGTCCACACAAATGAAGAAAAACAATATTGATGTGTTTGCAGGATAGAGACTTGGGCAAAGGTATTTGTACTGGGGAAACAGAAGGAATAACTTTAGTTTTTGGCTACAGCAATTTGGCATAACTGTTAAAAGCTTCTGATCAAAGCAGTGCCAAAAACATCAGCAAGCGTATCTCCCACCAAAGTCAAAATGCTTCATAGGATCAATCCTACTTTAATAATTTTGTGTTGCAAGTGGAACAAAGAGGGGGATTCTGAAAATGAAACATTTCCACTTTTTTCTTTCAAAACAGCTCTGTTTTCCAACACATTTATTTTGCATATTCATGTAGCTGTGAAAAATGAAATACTTGAAAGTAGAACGAAACGTATAAATTACACTAAATGTTTTGATTAACTCAAAACAGCTGATATTTCCTTTTCTGAATAATTTCAAAGTTAAACTTAAGAAAAACAATTTCTTATGTAACAAGCCTCTTTAAAAAGGCATATTTAGTATTTTGCAGTATCTCTGTTAGGTATATTGGTGCCAGCATATTACTCTTTTAATGTGACTTGTAAAAACAATTCTGACCCATTCAAACTCCAGCTTTAAAATATTTAGGAAAAAATAAGTCTCTCTAGTCCTTCTTCATAGTGCAGCTCTTACACGGCAACACTCCTATTTGTGCTTGGAGTTTCTTAGCTGGGATAGAAATCCTATATTTAAAATATAGTGTCTACATTCATAATCTTTCTGATCTTCAAATGAGAGGTGAATCTGTAATGGACCAAATTAAGTTCCTCCTTACTCTTACATCATTAATTTTAGGACTTCTGCATGGAAACAATCTGGCTTTGAAAGAAAAATTAATATAATGTAATTTGCATGGGAGATTTCTTGTTCTTTTGTTCAGCAGATTTTCTTTTAGTGAAGACACCTCTTCTATACAGCTACATTAGAAATATTAAATATAAAACAAAGGAGGGGAAAAAAATGAAATAATCAGCCTTCCCTTCTCTGAAGGTTTTATTGAGCTGTTTTATTGAGTCTGCCTTTCTGTTACTGCAGGAAATTGTAAAATGCATTCGCTGGGAGCAAAGGAAGCTAATATTTTCCCACAGGCAGAAGCTGGCAGCCCTGGCCATGCAGGGAGAAGCTATATTGAGTGACACAAAGTCCATCTGCAGGTGGAGGTCACTTCTCTCTTTGAGGTCACACTGCTCACCCAAAGCTGATCTTTCTCCCTGAGCTACTGCAAGGGGAGTCCTGCGAAGCATCCGTGTCTCAGTCCTCATTTTTCCCCACCTGGGAAAAATGTGGTGACAACCTTTTCCTTGTTCAGGGGTGATTCTCCCTTACCGCTCCTGCCCTCCTCGTTCATAAGCAGGATCGTCAGACGGGGGAGAAAATGCACATAAGTGAAAAGGGTCCATTTGAGTTGGAGCTGAAATATAGACTTTCTGTAGTGCGTAAGAGGAAAGAAAAGAGAGGACCTCAAGTTTCCTAGAGTCTCAGCCCTGACTGTATCCCAGTTTTACTCTCTGGTTGCCAAGATGTCTGCAGAATCATGTTTCAGAAGGAAAGGTGGAACCAGACTGGCTTACCAACCTATGTTCGGATCCAACAGGAACTCTCAAGCCGTTCGAATGCGTTCACCAAACACACGGATCCCAGAGTGAGATCTGCATGCAGACCAGAGGAGACATGACTTGTATAGTGCCAGAAGATGTGCAAAGTTCTAGCGAAGCTGGACAAGCTTCCTGCGGGGTTACTGCAGGCAGAGGGTTGGCAGTGAAAGGTTTGTGATATGTTTAATGCACAGTTCACTTGGGCTGGTTCCCTGGGAGGAATCTACAAAACAGAAGCAGTATGGACTCGCCTTTTTCTTGGAGGGCTGCTCAGGTACACTGGAGAGGGCGGTAGGAGCAGAGACACCAAATCCTCCAAGCATCAGAGACATTCTGTCTTAAATTTCTGCCTCAAGGCTTTCTGCACATTTTGTATCTTCTCTGTGATCACTGTGTCACTGAGGTGATCTCCAAACTTCTGTTTCAACAGCACCCGAATGATTTTGATGCATCGTTCATCCATCATGGGCTTTGCCTCTCGGAAAGTATTGCCCCTCCGCCCCGTGATGGAGTGGCTCTGGATATAGTCGGATGTGAAGAGCTTGTAGAGTAGTGTCTTGCAGGCTGTGCTGATTTTCTGGTCAAAGCGGATGGCCTCTTTGAGCTGTTCCTTTGTGTAGCCATTGAAGAGCTCCACCACCTCGCATGGCTGTCGGTGAGGTTCCTCCTGGAAGGACAAGGATTCCAGCCTCTGCACCTTCTTCTTCAGAGCGAGGACATCCTGTTGGAGGTCCAAGACAATCCTCTCCAGCTGCTCAATCTTCTCTGCCCTGAAAAATTGAACCCAGGGTACAACATGCATAGAGACAAGAGGATACCACAGCCTTGTAACAAGCATTACTAAAGGATGTAGCACATCCATGCAGGTAATACGTTTCACACCCCCTGCAAGTGGGCACAGGACAACCCTTGCTGGAATGCCAGGCCATCCAGCCATTTCCAGGTGTGGAGCAAGGCAAGGGAGAAGAATGATACGGTCTGACATTTTTAGACGCTCAGAAGTGGCCAGAGCTCAACCCTCAAACCCTCCTTGTCATGCACTTATGGAGACTTTGATGCCTGGGTTTCTCTTCTGTTTTAAGGAAAGGTATAAACCCTGCCCTGCAAGTACCGGGAAGCAGATTTTCATGGTACAAAACAAGGGACACGTGGCAAAAGGCAAGTACTGTAACATCATTTTTGGCACCCATTTCTTTGCAATAAAACTGTCCCTAGTATCCACTTCACTACTAGGTACTTGTTATCTAAGAAACCAGCAATAAAGGAAGACGCACAGATCCATGTTCAAACATTATAGATGTCATTTTGATGGTTATAGGCATGAGCTTTGTGATTTCTGCATTATTTTAGAGCCTGCTTGCAGGCTCCAAGCCCTACAATTGGAAAGAAACAGCTGTCTCTGATTATGTAGAGATTCAGCAGCTCTTGTTTTAAAGTTACGGCATTTTGTCACCCAGCTGTAGTCTCAGCCCTTTTTTTCTGTAGTAAGGAGGATAATACTGTTAAGAACAAGTGCCTTCTTTTGCTGTTTACCTTTCCGTTTCACCAGGAACAAAATTTTTCTGAACTCTCTCAGAGTCATCTGCCTCTTGCAAAGTTTCCAGCTTTCGTTCTTCACGACTGGAACAAACAAACAAGCTAAAAAAAAACAGCAACAAATAGTTTCATGTTTCACTTACAGCGAGAAAGAACCAGACTGAGAGGAGATGTCAGTGGTTCTGCATGTGGGCAATCTCCTATGCACCCCATTTCTATGGGGAGGAAGCCCCAGCACAGAGGTATGGGGAGGACCTCAGTGCCCTCCATAACTCTCTCATTCGCCTGACCAGGGGACCAGGGCTTCAGAGCACTAGGGAATCCGTCTGCTCCACAGCATAGTTGTACCCACAGTAACCCCCGTTATCTTCCACGCTTTAGGTTTATTTCTACCGCAACATCTGTTCAACGTAAGCACCATCAGGGCACTGAACTAGCTGCAGGACTCAGCAGTATGAAATGACAATATATGAAACATTCCAGGTCCTCACTGTGCTTGATGGTATTACCTGTTCAGACAGATGTGCTGCTGGCACTGAGACAAGATGCCATCTGATTTCCTCTTCACTGCCAGGGCCAAGTAGTCTAGGGACAAGGATAGGGAGATAAGCTAGGCAAGCCAGCTGTTGAAAAGGTGATCACCTGAATCCCTTTATCTCCAGAATACGTTTATCTCAGCACTGCTGCTAGATAACATGGCAACACATTATTGCCTTTACATAAGCAGAGTGATCCAGACATGCTTTCCAGGATTGAACAATAGGGATTTTATTAGAAAAACATGGTATCTCAAGAGCTACTTTTGTTTCTATCATAAAAGACATAGTAGGTAAGGCAGGAAGAATGAACTTGTCCCTGGACACTGGCATGTTAGTTAGCAGGGAGATAATACAACAGCATGTTTTTATAATTGTGTTTAGTGTGTGCCCTAGCAGATGGAAAAGCAGGCAAGTAAAGAGGCAAATCTTAGAAGGTTTGGCTAGTTGAGGCAGAAGGCTTTGGGGTGTTTTAGTGTTATTCAGGCAGACTGGATTGGGTTTTTTTGACTTATAGAGAAAGAACTACTAGCATAGGGGAAAAAGTTGGTGCCTGGTATAAACAGATATAGTATCCTACCACACAGACACCTCCTTTTAAATAGCCTCCCTGGAGAAGACCTTCCATGTGGGAAGGACCCTTGTAGCCCTGTGAGAAGGCGCACACAGCCCTAGAGCAAAGCAGTCTTCATGGCAGCCGTGTCAGTACCCATCCCAATCTCTGTAGGTCAGAACAATGCAGGAGAGAGCTAAAAGCTTATGCTCTAATGTTCAGCCTAACTCCTCCCAGCCATGAGTACCTCTGGTGGCTGTGCCAGGCCTGTCCTCTTCGCTCTGGGAAGTCCCCTGCACAGCCAGGGCCACAAAGGTGGGTGGTGCGTTGAAGGCACTGGCAGCGTGATGGGGCACCGCCAGCGAGCAGGGACTTCCCGTTGCACTGCCCAGGGCACATCTCTCCTTGATGACAGAGGAGCTGCCAGCGTCACGAGGCAGGCCTGCCTCGGCAGCCCGCTTGGCAGGACAGGTCCTGTCACCATGGTATTTCCTGGATGCGTTCCCTGGGGTCCATTTTGGAAAGGTTTTCCTTGATTTTTTTGACTGGGGTGGCATCATGCTATGGATGGCTGGTTCTTCTTCTGAAAGCAAGGTGAACACTCAAGCTGTGGAATAGGATATCAGTGCTGTGTACCCCCCACCTCCCACACGGTGCTCTTCACCCTGATTGTAGGGATAAGGGCTGTGAAATCCATGACAGAACTACCAAGCATCCAGTGTCCTCCCACTTAGAAAGCCCAATACAGGCAGAAAGACACAGCCTTCAATTACTTTCTTGCCAGAAACAATTCCCTGCCATATAAAAAGCTCCAAAGCAAAGATGCTACTCACTTAACTTCTCCAGAAGCTGTCTATCTTCCAGCAGCCTTTTCTCTAAAATGTCTTTATGCTCTGTAGGAAAAGAGGACTTTTCAGCATAGAACTTGTTTCCTGGAGGTTGCTCCTGAACAGCCTCAAGGTGCAAAGCCCAGGACAGGCAAGGATCACTCACCACTTATGCCCTCCACAATCCCCCAGTACAGCCCACTAAAGCCAGGGCAGCGGGCCAACACCTGCTCGCCCACCACATAGAGGTGGAACGGCTTCCGAGGCTCCTTGATGTTCTCGATGTTGATCACACGGCTGCCATCGGGCCAGCTGATGAGGACGTAGAGCTTGGCAGACATCGGAGCTGCCCCACCTGGAGCAGGGGAGAGCAGAACGAAATGTCACCGCCGGCATACCATGCTCTTCGTGACGATGGCTGCTCAGGCCTCGCACTGCAGGACCTGACTGTGCACCTCGGAGCATGGCTTTGGACACCTGGCATCGAGCACTCAGGATGCAAACAGCTAGAAATAATGAGGCTAACAAGGACTTTTTCAGCTGCAGCAGCAGAAGCTATGGACAGGCCTACAAACAACTATATTGACAAATACGACTCGTGTAACCTCTCTCCACCTCCTGGTGCTGGGTTGTTTTAACTCTGCTATTTCTATTTGGTTAAAAAAAACACTTTCAAGTACTGTCTGTCATGGTTGGGAGGATTAACAAACAGTTAATTACAGTTACAGGCAACGTAGCCCATAGATATCAAGTCCCTGCAGCGAGCTCTCTTCCACCTTTTCTACCAGTCGTTTCGCCTTTCCTGTCCTTGCCCTTCTGCACCTGACTTACATGAAACGCCTTCCCTGGGGGTTGTCCTAGCACTGATTTTGGGCGCAGACCCACGTGCTTTTAGTGCTCCTCAGCTCTATCCAACAAGGAACTCAGCTCCAGCCGTGACACGTGTCCCCTGGGGGCAGGCAGGACCAGCTCTCGTGGGATGTGTTTAGCAGACACTAGATAAGACCCTGTGCAGAAACAGGGTGGTTCCTCTGCCCAGTGGATCAGCACAGCTCTGCTGACTTCACTGTGACTATGGCAATTCAGTACAAGATTGCTTCTGTACGGTATCAAGGTGGCAGAAAAAAGAGGCTCTAAAGGACCCAGGGGTGCTCCAGGAAATGATAACTCCTTTATCTTTACAGCGTCAAAAGTGCTTTGCTAAGGAGGGCAGCAAGTGGCCTCCTTTTCACACATGGGGAAACTGAGGCACAGAGTGGTGAAAGACACAGGGCAGAGCGTCACCCTAGACCGCCCCTGTGCCACTGTACTGGCAGGAGGGCTTCGGGGACAGGGCTGGGGCTCAGCCCCTGTTCTGGGCACCCTTTGGGGAACCGCAGTGCTTCCCAAAGCCAACGGGAGAGAGCTCACGGCAGAGAGGGGAGAGGGGTGGCAGGAAAGGCAGCTACAGCCCGGAAAAGTGAGGAACAGCCCAGTTTATTGCAATCACGGGTTTGGCCCCAGGTCCCCATTAAAGCCGAGCCTGATTTCGATTCCTCTCCCTGGGAGGTTCAGTTCTCCCTGGAGACCTTTTTCCTCCTCCCACCCCGGCTCCCCAAGCATCACCCAAAAAAAAGCTGCCCGCAGAAGCCATAACGGCCCCCAAACCTGCCAGCTGCCCGGCCGGCTCAGATTCGCACCTAACTCACTCCAGGTCTTTTCTCTTGGCTGAGACGTGCTACGAGGTTCATTTTGAACAGGCAATGCTGCATACGAATTAACTGTGCGTTAATCAGCTTGCTGCCCACTCCCCCTCCTCGCTGCAGAGGCTGGGTGCCCAGCAGCACAGGACCGCCCGCAGCCCCGTCCTGAGCCCCGGACGTCGCAGAGAGACCAGGCAAACTAGCGTAAACGCGTAGCTGAGACTTCTCCCTCCCCAAAACACAAAAGAGGTTTCCAGCTCTGTTTTAAAGAGCTCCATATTCCAAACAGCAAGCAGTTCAAGCCTCCCGAAAGCACTTCAGAGGTGTTTGCCCTTCTTTAACATTTAAAGAAAAATCACTAATCTTCATAGCTGCTCCTGCTCCCTCCTGCCCCGCTTACTGCTTGCTCATTTATTTTAAAGAATGCACCCAAACTACACAACCGCACCGTCAGAGAAAGAGAGAAAGAAAGAGAGAGAGAAAGCGAGCAAAACCCTGTCAGCGACCGAGCTCAGTCCTTGCCTGGTTAGCACTGCTCCAGGTGTTGAGTCTTGCAAAATGTCTGTCTATCCCGGTCCCAGCTGCCTGCTCCAGAGGAGGAGGTGACCGCACGGTCCTCTTGCCTTGGGTTTGTCCCTTCACCACAATTCCTGCTCAGGTTTCCTTTGTCTGGCTTGGAAAGCTCCCACCTGCTGTCCCCACTGCAAAAAAAATAAGCCCCTTGGCTTTCTTTTTTCCTGATTGTTTTGTTTCAGCATTATGATTCCTGCTTTTTTTCCATATACATGTATGTATTCTTTTTTCCTTAGCTCGTTTCAGGGCTGTTTCTTACAGGAAGAGAGAGCAGAAGAGAAAAGAAAAAGCCTTGGGTTTTTCGGAGCATGAATAAACCTTGCATTTCCATGAGTTATTCATGAATAATTCATGAAAATGCATGATTAATTCAGGTTCATGAATTATTCAGGAATAATTCTCGAACATTCCTGGTTAATTCATGCTCACACAGCGAGTGAGTCAGGCTCTAGGGCTTGGTGGATTCCTCTCTCCGAGACAGGGGAAGAAAGGCTGAGAGATGCCTGCTTTGTGCACTTTGGATTTGCTGCGTCTTAGAAGAAAACGTTCTTCAGGCCCCTTTTGAAACACGGGCTTGAACAGGATTGAAATGCCTGCAGCCTTCTGGCCACTATGGAATAACGCAGAACAGAAGGAAAGAGTAAAAAAGAGAGAGAAAGAAAGAGTGAACCCACTCTCCCAAGGAAGCCTGGCAGCCAGTTTTACTTCCTATCAAAGCATCTTTGGACCTGGCTGTGTGTTTCCTTCTCCCTCGGCCTCCAAGTTTGTCCCTGGTTAAGATATATCTCGGCCACTTTATATTTTGTTTGCTACGCAATGACAAGACCGACACACGCAGGCCTCCGCCTGAGGAGTCAGAGGGGCTTCTGGTGCCCTGTGCCCGCCTGGCCCTGCCGGTGTGAGCGCAAACATGCAAAGCACCTTCATTAACTTTCGCAGCCCGTGCAAGCACTGGCGGGGGCAATTGGCCCAGCAGGTAACTGCCTTATCCTGGTACTCGCGCCAGCCAACTCATTGGGCTGGCCATGCACAGCCCAGCTTTCACTGCACGCACGTCCCGAAAAGGGCACTGCTGCACCTCCCGGGGTTGCTTATGCAGAGCTTCCTACAGCTGGTGCATGCACAAAGGCGGCCAACGCAAGCGGGGTGCAAGCAGGGTGCCCGCACCTGGTGGTGGCTGTTCTGTTCTCCCGGATCGAGGGTGATCCCCAGGCAGGTGTGGGCACCCAGGGACCTGGACACTGCCTGGGTGCTCCCCTCTGCTATCCCCAGGTCTCCTGCAGGGTGGGCTCAGGGTCCCTCTCAGGTTGGAGAGCAGCGCTGGTTCAGCCAGTGCCAACGGTGCCAAAACGGGCTGGATTTCACAGCCCTTTTTCAGGATGTCAACCTCCCCTGGTAGCTGACCCCCTACGATTTATGTCCTACTACCCTGCGTGTTTTCAAACGTCATATAGATGTTTGGATAAAAAAAAAGCGAGTTCCAGTAAAGGCTCCTCAGCAGCAATTCAAATTAATTTTGTGGGATTTCACGTGAACAAACAAGATTTTGTTCCAGAGCCTCTGCCGTGGGGCCATATCTGCCTGCATATTGGCTCTCCTAGGACACCGAGAGCCTTGCACTTCAGAGCAACATAGTGGGGAGTGCTTCCTCCTTCTCCCCAAAATCAGCAGTGCTCTGTGGCAAACAACCCCATGCATTGGTCAGGAATGAGCCACAAAAGCTTGATGATGGACTCACCCAGCCATGCCGCTGAGTCCCACCTGGGAGACAAGTCGCAGGATGCGGACGCTAGTGCAGCTCGCCCGCGAGGGATGATGCTCCTGGGGCCGGCGGGAGCCCCTGCCGGCGCGGTCCGTCTTTGCACCCCTGCAACGCTTCCCAACCCAGGGTTAGGGCCGTAGGTGGGCCTGGCCATGAGAGCTGCTTTGCCAAAAGGATGTCACCACGGTGTGACATGGGAATACAGCAAGGGAGAGAATCCAAATAGCGATTTCTATTTTATCTTAGCAGAAAGAAGCTTTTGAGATTGTAGGGAGAAAGAGAGTCTTTAGAAATTCTATGAGGTAGTAAAAAAGGAACTCTATTAGATTCACAAGTTAAGAAAGCGTCTGCATCCAAGATTTGCAATATTTACAGCTCAAAGACTATATCTGTCAACTCAGGCAAAGACAGACTTTAAATAGAGATCTGTCTGAGATAAGGAAAGGCACCCCGGCAGACATGAGTACAAAAGGAGCAGTACCTGAACTCCATGAGGTTTTGAATGACGCTGCTGAAGAACTGTATCTGAAGAAGAAATACAAAAGCAATGATGAGAGAAAAAAATAATTGAGATGCATGACAATAGATATGAGATTGAATTATGGTTTTATACAGGACCCACTCCAAATAAAATTTGCTTGAAAAGTAGTGCTGCTTAAGCAAGTATTGTTTGCTTTCTTTTGAAAAATCGACAATATGCAAAACACATGGGGTGAGTATTCCTGGGACAGGAGTGAGTATGTGCACAACAGCAAACCACTGGAGAGAAAAGAGTACAATGACCGCAGGAGAAAGACAAGGTGTAGTCTCACCAAACAACACAAAACCCAAGTGTCTTTTTGTAAATATACCGTTTTGCATCAAATTATTCCAGGAAAATACAGATCTGATGTGGATCCCAAGTGTCTGACTTCATGAAAATTAGCAGGTCCTCATTAGACTTCCCTCGTTTTTCTGAGCATAAATTGCCTTGCAATATAACTCATTGCCAGCTGTATCAGGACAGCATAACAGTGCTCAGGAACCTCAGTTCCTGCTTTTCCTGATTCTTTGAAAACATATCTCATACCATGACCCCCCAGGGTCAGTACTCTTTCACCCTTCAGGCTGTACTTGGTGAGATTTATATTTCAGCCATGATTAAGGAAGCACAATAGCTTCTTCTTAACCTTACCTAGAGATGCGCTGAAAGAAATCATGCTCAGCATTTTACAAAACCAAGACAAGGGGCTGTTTGAATGCTGGCCCTGTATTTATTGGGACAATCATAATTGTTCTTTGAAGGAATTTAAATGGAAAATGCAGGTGATTTTAGTCTCCCTTTGCATTTTCTCCCTGCAACGTTGCTGTTCCCTTAGTGCAGGTTTAGCAGCCTGGACGTCCTCTCCACGGTAAAAGCAGCCGTTTCAGAATGCCATCATTGAGAAACCAGAGCTATATCACTCATCAATTTTTATTACCACTATGAAATTAGCTTTAAAGTGCTCTGGTTTGGCGGGAGCGGACCAAGAGCAGCTCTGCCTCCCGGCCCACCCTTGCGGGACACGGAGGCCAGGCAGCAGCGAGCTGGGCTCCCTGGGGTCTTGCGCTGGCGGCCACCGAGTGCGTGCACTGAATGGCCTGGGGTCGGCTCAGGAAGGTAAAGCTGTCTCCACTGAGGCCTCAACATCTCAACACGTGGCCAAGTTGCAAGAAGAGCACAGGGACTTGGGCAGTTAGCGATGCCTCATTGTCACAGGTCCCATTTGGGACGGCAGATACAGCTGACAAAGTCATTAGAATGGATCTGGGTCAGCGTTCTGCGGCTGTCCGTGCGACAAACTCTGTGGCATAAGTCACTGCTTGTACCAGGGAGCGACCACCTGGTGGCATTTTGCATTTTTAATGAAAACAAGTACAATTCCCATCTCTGCTTACCGTAGGAGGAAGAGCAAAACATGATCCAAGCTAACGAGGCTGGAATTAACTGCATTTCAATTAAGGACTTCTCTTTTCCGTAACAGGTTAGAAATACGTTAAATAACTTGGAAATGGGGAGTAAAGTAACAATCCCAGGTCAGCCATCGCCCAGACTTGTACATGTAAGTCCTGCTGATTGCAGTTTGTTAAATGCTTTTCTAGACCCATTCCGCATTGGGCAGCAGCACCCATAAAGCAATGAGAAAGTCAGAGGCCAGATGTACAAGACATCCAGCCAGCTTCGTGGTAAAGGCCAGAACAAAGTTTCCAGCAACTTCATTTAACTCACAGTCTAAGGCTCTGGGTAGGATCTGGAAGGACAAGGCTTCTGCAGGGTACACCAGTTTGCCCAGTGACCCTTGGGCCCAGTGACCCTTGGGCTCTGATCCAGAAACTATTGGCCATTCACATTTTCCAGCCCCCATCAGATCAATCTACCACCATAGGTGGCATCAGCCAGCAATTTCTTATTATTTCTTTAAGCATCCACTCACACATCATAATACGGCACGCAAAGCGTTGCATCCATAGGAAAAATACACGTGCAATGGGGCACCGGCTTTCCCACGCTGGTTACGGAGGAGGCGTGCTGTCTTGCAGCAAACGCACGGGCCACAGCACGGTTTTGCTGGTCGTGTGAGCGGACACCTGCCGTGGCACGAGGAGATGCCAAATGAGCTGTGTTGATCTTTGCAACCTGTGGCCTGCACCCATGGGAATCCCAGGCAGGCGCTCGCCTTCCCCATCCGCTGCTAACGCAGGCAGTTACCAAAACGCATGTTGTTATTTCTTCTCTTTTATTGCCTTGAATTCATTGGGATCTGGCAGGGGCACTAAATGGAGGGTTTTTTCTTCCGTGCAGAGAAAAAGTTTCCCCTTTATAATCCCATTCAAAAAAGCTTTCCCTTTTCACCTATTCCGTTTCCCACTGTTTTGCAACGCCTGCCTCCTGAACTCTGTCTGTATTTATTTGACCTTTGTGCTCTACAACATCTGTCTCCTTATCTGCTTGGCTAGCTGGTTTCTTGGGTTTCTTTTATGAGCTTGTCAGAGAGATAGCGTAAGTGCAGAGAGCCAAAAAAAAAAAAACCTGCAGAAAAAATTGACAGATTTTAAATACCCTCCTAAACCTTTTTCTGATGCTTCCAGGCATTTAGTTTTAGCCCCTTTTAGTATTCACCGGGACATTACAGGGACTAGCAGGAATTAACCAAACAAAGGATGCGGCAGAGACCAAAGAATAGATTAGTCTTGTGAAACTGAAGAGGAAGAAATTATTTAACGTTGGAATTAAAGTTGTAGGTCCCTGGGCAACGCAAACCTGCCTAACTGCAGGCACCTGAGCAGTTCCTGAGACAGTGACAGGACTTCCCACATTTTTTTTAGGTCAAGCTCTTGCTTGCCTGGTCACACAATCGAGGATTAAAAGCAGAAAAAGCGTCAAAGTTTCATGTGTCAACAAACTCTACTGAAAGCTGTAGGGATGATCCTGATTTACAGGTCACTGTAGATAGGAGAAGAATAAGCCCAAGAATGCAGCTTCAGTTCAGATTTCCAGAGCGCGGTGGTGAAGGATCAGAAAGGAGAAAGTC